TTACTTAGTAAATTACATATACTACATGTACTTTAATATAAGGAATGGTAAACCCTTCCCAAGTGTTATAGAGATGAGGTTGCATGAATGATGCCCGTTACTTTTATTTTGGAAACATCTGAGAATCAATTTTCCAAACATTTTGATTTATGTTGGAGGGGTAGGTAGGCAGTGGTTAGTTGTAGCGAAGTAGTGAGCTACTTTACCTATACTTTGGCAAAGTGCCAGAATGTTACCCTGGGTACACACTTGATCGATTGATAGGTCATCTCGCTCATGTGTCATGTAAAGATACTAAGTCAAAAAAGGAACTTCACATTCTTTCTTCAGGGCACTATAAAAGAACAAGAGATGGTAAGATGGTTAAATTGTTATTATTTCATTGCTGAAATCTGTGTGATGTACTCGATACACTGACAGTGCCATAATCCGTTCCATTAGGCTACACCGCCATTCCAAAACATGGGTATACAGAATGTCAAGTCACAAGAATATAAATGCGAAATTTCTCAGTTCAATATCGTGTATGGCCGCTCCGCGCATTCACCACTGCGAAACACCTCTCCTCATCGACTGCCTGATGATTGTGAACACGTGGTTGGGGATTCTGCGCCATTGCTCTTGCAAGGCAGCGCCAAGTTCCTGCAAATTCTGAGGTTTGTTCCTAAGACCACGAAGCCTTCTCCCAAGTGCATCCCAAACGTGCTCTATTGGATTAAGGTCAGGGGACCTCGATGGCCAGTCCATGACGTTGATTCCAGCGTTTTGACGGAAATTTCGTGTCAACATCGCGGTATGCGGCCGAGCATTATCATACTAGAACTGTAGACCTGGGCCATGAGCCGCCATGAAAGGAACGAGTTCAGGGGTGAGCACCTGGTCGCGGTAAGCAGCAGCTGTGAGGTTTCCACGGATGACCAGAAGTCAGGAACGGTTGTTCCCACAGAAAGCACCCCACACCATGGAACTTCCGCCCCCGAATCTGTCGACTTCCTGTACACAACATTAGGCATACCGTTCACGACGTCGTCTCCAGACTCTATGCCTGCCGTCCGCGAATCTGAGGGTAAACCTGGATTCATCGCTAAAGACGACTCGATTCCAGTCTCTCTGGGTCCATCGGTGGCGACATTGGGCCCACAGAAGACGTTGACGTTGATGAAACGGCGTCAATGGGCCCACGATATGGACGTCGAGCCCGCAACCGATTTCTAATGGTCTGTGATGACAGTCGACCTCTAAACATCTCAGCCCTGGTTCGTGTAGCCGGCGGAAATCTGTCACGTAGGTCACGTAGGACGATTTGACCTTCTTCTGCTCGTGACGTCACACGTGGACGACCCGACCTTGGGCGATCAGAAGTGGTGCCACTTTGTTGTAGACGACCTCGCAAGTCATACACAGTACGACGGCTGCATCCCATTGCCCTTGCGACGTCAATAACTGATCTTCCCGCTTGCACATTTGACAATCGTGGCATTTCAAGTACCGTTAGAACTGTGGTTTAAAACTGTTTTTTTCAATTCTTGAGGCCAGTGCAAACACGTGCATATGAAGAAAACTCCGATGCGAAGATCACGTGATCGACTGCACGTGCAAAACCTGATTTGGCACTAACGTCATTTGCACGACGAATGGATGGGTTTGAGTGGGTTTTGCTAACGTTTTTCTAGAGTCGAAAGATAGGGATCCCATTTCGGATACGTAGATGTATCATCAGGGAAAAATTATTCATAATTATTCGAATAACATTTTGTGAAGTTTCTTTTTTGACTCAGTATACTTTGGCAGACTGCCAGTTTTGACCTCATATCACTTCTGGGTATATGCATTGCATGAAGTTCATCAAGCCCTGCAATAGGTCTCCACTGCGTTCAAATTAATTCGACTGATATGGACGCTAACAGGTATGTATGCATATGTGTGTGTTTGTGTGCGTGTGTGCGTCTGGTCACTGGATTGTCTTGAGACTCGATTACTTACAGACGGTGATAATATAGCAGCAATCAAACATACAAACGTACCTTCCTCTGTAAATGTGTCTGTGAGCTGATGCGGTGTTAAGCAATATTCACTTATTTTAATTTTAGTATTCTAATTCTGTTTCATGTGTTCTGTAGTTGTATGAGATACTAACTCCCGGTATAATTTCGCCATTTTTTGTTCATAAATGTCAAACACAATCGGACTGAGTATTGACATGCACCACGATGTGAAGGACATATTAGTTAACTAACCCAAAGGCTGATCAATGAAATCAGTCTTTCATGGGGTATTTCCATCACATTTTGTGTTGAACAAGCGTAACAAGAGTTAATTTTGCCACGAACAATACCTATGAATCATGTCACAGTTATTCAGTTCTAATTTTAAAAAGAAATCGTTTGTGTCCACCACGACCCAGCCCACCCCACCCCACCCCCCAGTCCCCAAACACCCCTAATTCCCCCACAATAAATAGGAATTGCTGTGGACAGAATTTACTGAGAACACATGTATTATATATTTCACCACACTCTATTTAGCATAATTGTTGTAGCGCTCTGGAAAGGCCATGGATGAATTATCTATGCAGTGTTCAGTTTAAGCTAGGCATTGATCTGCAACACCTATGCAATGCACATACTTTGGCACACTACCAATATTAACTTCTGGGTAATGTAATGTATATACCGTGTTTTTAAGTTATATCGCTCATGTGACATGCAAACACTTTGGCAGACTGCCAACAGTGGTCGTTAGATCACCTGTGGGTATATGCATTCCATGAAGTGGATCAAGGGCTGCAATAGATCTTCACTGCGTTCAAACTGATTGGACTGGATGGGTTCTAAAATGCTGTATGTATGTATGTATGTATGTATGTGTGTGTGTGTGTGTGTGTGTGTGTGTGTGTGTGTGTGTGTGTGTGTGTGTGTGTGTATGTATGTATGTATGTATGTATGTATGTATGTATGTATGTATGTATGTATGTATGTATGTATGTATGTATGTATGTATGTATGTATGTATGTATGTATGTATGTATGTATGTATGTATGTATGTATGTATGTATGTATGTATGTATGTATTGTTAGATCTATGGACGTATGCATGTATTGATGTATAGATGGATGATTGTACGGTGGACTAGATGGAGAGAGGGAGGGGGGGTAAGTAGGTAGGTAGGTAGTGAGGTAGGTAGACAGGTAGGCAGGTAGACACCTTCTGTTATGTTGAAACTAATGGGTCAGTATGGCGCACCGTGGACTATATTTGGCGTGCTGACATCGATGGCGCTCTTAAGAGAAATAGTAGGAAGTTCTGAGAACACATTTATTGTATTATTCACCCGATTTAGCATAATTTCTGTAGCGACGGAAAGACCATCCATGAAGCTTTATCTTTGACCTTTGAATGACCTGTGTAGTTTTCAGTTAAAACGAGGCAGTGAGCTACCACAACTGTGCAATGTACATACTTTGGCAAAGTGTCAGTATTAATTCTGGGTACACACTTCATCGATCGTTATGTAGCTCACTGGATTGTCTGATTGAGACTCGATTATTTACAGACGGTGCTCATTTAGCTGCAATCAAACATACAAACCTACCTTCCTCTGTAAACTGATTCGGACGCTCAGATGTAACTATGTATGTATGTATACGTGCGTGTGTGCGTACGTGCGTGCGCGCGCGCGTGCATGTATTAATGTATGTGGGAGGGTAGGGGCTTAGGTTATTGGTTTGGGTGTGGCTAGCTGGAGAGAGGTAGGTAGGCAGTGTCTAGTTGACGCGAGGCTGGGAGCTACCACACCTATGCAGTGCACATGCTTTGGCAAAGTGCCAGAATTTACCCCTGGGTACACACTTCTTCGATCGATAGGTTATCTCTCTCATGTGACATGTAACACTTTGGTAGATTGCCATTTGTGACGTCATATCACTTCTGGGCATATGCATTCATGAGGTGGATCAAGCCCTGCAATAAATCTCCACTGCGTTCAATATGTCATGCTATAGATATTGATATGGATGCTAAGAGGTGAGTGTTGGTTTGGGTGTGGATGTGTGGCTGGGGGCGGCTGGGGGTAGATAGGTAGGGAGGTAGATAGGTAACTCTGAAATTCTGTCCAGGTAGGGTATCCAAGGTTATAGTGGTCACACTATATGCTGGTCTTCTAACTGCTTGTAATGGGATATGAGAGGCAAGATTTAACTCTTAATATACATAAGAAAAAGATAAGAAAATTCAAAGGCTGTGATTCTGGAAATGATAGACTCTTAGTATCCCTTTCCAGATCGGTCTGGCTATAGGTCTAAACAGCACCACTGCCAGATTCTACAAAATACCAGTTGGATCATTCTTGCACAATGCATAACACTGCCTCATATCAATGCATGTGTGTGTGAGTGCGTTCGCGTGCGTGCGTGTGCGTGTGTGTGCGAGCATGTGCACGTGGGCTAATGATTGTCAAACAAACAAACCTACCTGTGTAAATGTGTCTGTTAAGAAATAGTCATGCATTTTCAGTCGAGTATTCTTATTTAGTTTCATGTGTTCTGTAGTTGTTCACGCCTATTCACCCGGTATAATTTCGCCATTTCATTTTTATCAAAAATGTCAAACACAATCGGACTGAATATTGACATGCACCATGATGTGAAGGACATATGTGTTATCTAACCCAAAGGTTGACCTATGAAATGGGTCTTTCATTGCGTATTTACATCACATTTTGTGTTGAACAAACGTAACAAGAGTTACTATTTTTACTTACAATACCTACGAAATATGTCACAGTTATTGTTTCAATCGAGCGTTTTTAAACAGAAAACATTTATGTATTTCCCCGCCCCAAGCGTTCGTATTGGCACAACACTCATTCAACACGGAACCTTATGTTTCGATTTTCATTTCAAAAAACTTATTATTGCATGTTCATACAACATTATTACTTTTTTGTGTGCAATGTACACAAAATTTCTTTCAATCTGTTCAGAATAATCGTTTATTTTACAGTGATGATTCTTACAACAGTCCAGCTAAAGATGAGAACACTGCTATAGAGAGAAGTTTGATGAACCTCAGAGATATTGAGGCGAGATGTATGAGAGCAGCTCCTATGTGTTACGCCTCATCGAGTGAATATGAGGACAAAGGTTTCAAGATCAGATGTGCTGGAGCAGCAGCGTCTGGTGGGATATCATTGTTTTCAGGTTTTGCAGGTAGTGCAGTAATGGAGCCTGTTGTTAAGCACTACTCCCAGGTCCTCATTTTACGGTCCAAGTATTTCCCACGTTTGACTGGATTTGGAATTGGCATCGCCACCTTCTTTGGTATGCTACAAGCAACAGACAGAGTTATCGGCACATGGTATTACGAGAAGGCTCCGAAGTACAACAAAGCTGCGGCCGTGTGGCAAGAACTGGAGCTGCGGATCAAAGCTTTCCTTGCTGCTGCTGTCAAAGACACAATTACAGTTCAAGCCTGCAAAGAATTCACAGATGAGTGCGCGAAGAAACGCAAGGACATATGTCTTATTGCTCGTCCAGATCAAGAGGTCTACAAAAAGTTTGAATCTGATAATGAGCGCCTTATCAAACGCCTGGAAAACATCCGGGATTTTCACCAGAAAAGGAGAGAAAAACGCCTGTTTTCTTGTTAGTGCCTGCATACTCCTCATTTTGAAAAATTAATTAAGGGTCTTGGCACCAATCATCGCTTTGGGCGTGGCGTGTTGTACATGTGAAACAACATTATGCTATGTCATATTTATTCTCTTGTTAAACATTGTTGTTTTCTACCTGCAGTAAAGCATTCCCGACATACTAGTATATGCCTCACCTGCTGTTTTGCCTTTGACGCTGTGTATTTTGTAATGGACTGTATTAATTTTGTTCCCCAGAATTCCCCCCAAATGTATTATTTTCGCATCATGTCGGATGGTTTCATAAGTCCTTTCTCATTCTCCATACTGAAAAGCCGCAGGCCCATAGTGCATATACTACAACGTGTAATCAGATAGGATGAGTAATTACATTCTCACTGATATGGCCTGACAAATATACACTGATAAGTTACGACCTGATTTAATTGATTTACAGGCTGATTTTATCAGTAAAACACACATATTTACATTTGGATGAACAAAGAACCGTTTCATATCTTTCAACTCAGTATATTTAGTCAATACTAATTAAAAGTATTATTCATCATGCACAATTTCTTACAAAGGTTTGTCTTAGTGATATTAATCACACTTTTTGACTGTCTGTACCTTTTCTTTGTGCAAACAGTATTTACTTCACCTGATTTGTTGCATTACTTATATGTTGTTCCCGTGGTAGCTTTTCAGTGTATGTGACACTGTACCAATTTAATCATTTTCAATAAATCATTTGCTTCAGTAATGCTGATGGTGTCTTTCATTCTCTCAGGAGGAAGTTTGAGCAATACAGCTTAAGTCAACTTGAGTCTGGCAATCTTAAACATCGTTCCAATGTATTATACGATAACAAAATCCTTTCAACAAACGTCATGCCGAAGACCCGGGTTCGATTCCATATCGGGGTATAATGTGTGAAGCCCATTTCTGGTGTCCCCCGCCCTGATATTCCTGGAATATTGCTAAACGCAGCATAAAACTAAACTCACTCACTCACACTTTCCACAAACCGAGTTCCTGTTATGGTTTCAACTATCGTATACCCATGTGTTTATGAGACACTATCTTATAGCCATGTGTTTTGAATCACCATCAAATAGTCAAGAGTGTTAATGGAAAGGTGGGCCTCTTCTGCTCAGCTGATGGAACCTTTCATAAATTCATGGAACTGCACGTCAGCTGTTCACCTGAAATGGAATGGGAACACGAAGTATAAGTCAGAAAAGCAAATTGCCTCTAACATCAGTTTTGTCAATGATGCATCAAATTGTGTACATCACTTATAACCTGAACAACTGAGCAGGAGTCGTACGGCGTAGTCTGATCTTTTTGAAGACATATTCTTCACCATATGCTGAACGTTGGTACTTGGAAGACTTGCTATGTAGTTTTCTGGTTAGCTTATAGTCACTCTGAACCAAATACACAATCATATATGGGTATGAAGGAGATCGTCTCTTGAGTTTCTCATATAGGTGGATAGATCAGTGAAAACGAAATGTCAGTTTCATCAAAAGTGAACTATATCGGATCATCACTATTCTATGGATCAAGATAAATACCTGGACCAAAATCACTTATTTCATCAAAAACAACAAGAAACAGATTATTGCAAAATCAAGAGTTTTGCTTCATTATGCCCTGTTGCGATTGACAGATGTTCAGAAAAGCCAAATGTTTTGACCATATTGAATTTGGTGTTTTTTTCAGAAACTTGAAGCAAATGTTCGGGGTTTCTGAGAAAAGGAGATAAACGTACTATGTTAGGAAACTAAATTTATGTTAGACCTAAGTCTCCAAAGTTCATTAGAAACCAACAGCGTAGGTTTCGAATGATCAATTTAGAGAATATCAATTCACACGAGTTCGCTTTCTATTGGAGTTTATTCGGTCTGTCATTGATCAATTTTCAAATAGTACGTTTTTCCCCTTCACTATGACTGATTTAAAATGGAAGTTCTTGGTTCCGCGGTAGACAGTGCCCAATAGGACATGGTACGGGAGACGAGTTGAGCTGAAAGGGGTGGTAGGTGTCTTTCGGAGTGGTTGTTAACATTGTAACTGTAAAATATTCTTCAAAGAGAAGAAACAACGATTTGTTCAATCAAGCGACTTAATACGTAGTAACAGTATGGTTATAAAACACACAGACACACACAAACACAAACACAGACACACACATACAAATACCCATACACACACACACACACACACACACACACACACACACACACATACAGTGATATGACGCAGTGCGGTACTTTCTGTAACAATGTTTCAACTGGTTTTCGCTGTACCTGTAGATTAGTAAGGTGCAGTGGGGTGCTACATTTAGACTTATACTAGATACCTGACTAGGCAGAAACCAGCTTACTGCTTGATGTGCCGTAATGCTGTTGCAAACAAGTGTTTGGTTGCGTTTCTTCAACCAATTTATCACACTCTTTCCCTGGCTGAAATCCAAAAATTCATTCACAGTATTACCAATGAAACCAACCCATGTCACAATAACGTTCTGGCTCTGGGTATAACTAATGTAGCACTGCTTCTGCATAATCGTTACATTATTTGATGCCTTGTCACCTTGTCACCATAGGGATGCCTTGTCACCATAGGGAAGGGCGAAAAGTAAATTATACATACTACGATCATATAAGGAAGGGTAAACCCTTTCCAAGAGTTATAGAGATGAGGTTGCATGAACGATGCCCGTTACTTTGTTTTTGAAACATCTGAGAATCATTTTTTTTGGTTTTGATACAACACCGGAGACGTCAGACATGTTTGTTGCAATACTTTTGGCGCGTCACTGTATTTTATTCTCCTTCTTACTTAACAGAAAAGGTTTTCAATACCACTTTCAGTTATAGAGTATACATATAAGTACGCATCTCTCATACTGCCTCAATAATAGCGTTATAGATACTTCCTGTCGAATGTAGGAATCCTCTTTGGATTTCAGCTTCAAGGAGATTACTCCGTCGGCATCAGTATTCTGTGTTTTAGGAGGACATCCATTTTAAACTACTCCATGGTGTCGCAATGGAGTAAAAGTATAAAACCTGCTTTAGTCAGGACCAATACCAGCACGCACGCACATGCATCATTATCATACTGCCATAATAGTGAACGCAACGTTAAACCAAATGTAGGAAATGGTAACAGTTATTGTTAGGGTATCTTTGTCAATATCTAAACACAGTAATACTATGTGTTTTCTGATATCTAAACACAGTAATACTATGTGCTTTCTGATACCTGAACACAGTAATATTATGTGTTTTCTGATACCTGAACACTGTAATACTATGTGTTTTCTAATATCTGAGCATAGTAATACTATGAGTTTTCTAATACCTAAACACAGTAATAATATGTGTTTTCTGATACCTGAACACAGTAATACTATGTGTTTTCTAATACCTGAAAACAGTAATACTATGTGTTTTCTAATACCTAAACACAGTAATACTATGTGTTTTCTAATACCTGAACACAGTAATACTATGTGTTTTCTGATATCTGAACACAGTAATACTATGTGTTTTCCAATACCTGAACACAGTAATACTATGTGTTTTCTGAAATCTAAACACAGTAATACTATGTGTTTTCTGATACCTGAACACAGTAATATTATGTGTTTTCTAATACCTGAACACAGTAATACTATGTGTTTTCTAATACCTGAACACAGTAATACTATGCCTTTTCTGATACCTGAACACAGTAATACTATGTGTTTTCTAATATCTGAACATAGTAATACTATGTGTTTTCTAATACCTAAACACAGTAATAATATGTGTTTTCTGATACCTGAACACAGTAATACTATGTGTTTTCTAATACCTGAAAACAGTAATACTATGTGTTTTCTAATACCTGAACACAGTAATACTATGTGTTTTCTAATACCTGAACACAGTAATACTATGTGTTTTCTAATATCTGAACACAGTAATACTATGTGTTTTCTAATACCTGAACACAGTAATACTATGTGTTTTCTAATACCTGAACACAGTAATACTATGTGTTTTCCAATACCTGAACACACTAATACTATGTGTTTTCTCAGATCTGAACACAGTAATACTATGTGTTTTCTAATACCTGAACACAGTAATACTATGTGTTTTCTAATATCTGAACACAGTAATACTATGTGTTTTCTGATACCTGAACACACTAATACTATGTGTTTTCTAATACCTGAACACAGTAATACTATGTGTTTTCTGATACCTGAACACACTAATACTATGTGTTTTCTAATACCTAAACACAGTAATACTATGTGTTTTCTAATACCTGAACACAGTAATACTATGTGTTTTCTGATATCTGAACACAGTAATACTATGTGTTTTCTAATACCTGAACACAGTAATACTATGTGTTTTCTAATACCTAAACACAGTAATACTATGTGTTTTCTAATACCTGAACACAGTAATACTATGTGTTTTCTAATACCTGAACACAGTAATACTATGTGTTTTCTAATACCTGAACACAGTAATACTATGTGTTTTCTAATACCTGAACACAGTAATACTGTGTGTTTTCTAATACCTGAACACAGTAATACTATGTGTTTTCTAATACCTGAACACAGTAATACTATGTGTTTTCTAATACCTGAACACAGTAATACTATGTGTTTTCTAATACCTGAACACAGTAATACTATGTGTTTTCTAATACCTGAACACACTAATACTATGTGTTTTCTAATACCTAAACACAGTAATACTATGTGTTTTCTAATACCTAAACACAGTAATACTATGTGTTTTCTAATACCTGAACACAGTAATACTATGTGTTTTCTAACACCTGAACACAGAAGGCGTATGTGCTATTGCCAAGTCTTGGCAATGTCACAGCAGATACACTAAATGTGATAGGGAAACGGCCTTATCTGTTGATGATGTATTGATGTGCTAGGTGAATCGAATTTTGAGCCTACAGTTGTTAGATTGATAGCCAACTGTGACACGCCCATCACAACAATGGGGCTATTTATAATGCCGTCTCACATTTTCCTGGAAACATCGTATTCTCTGGGAAATGTAATGACTGCATTATTAAGTGTGTATGCCAATCTAGTTCAGGTGTCATTGTCGCCACAGATCTTTCCCGGGGAGACATCGGGTTGGGCAGGGTGTTCTTTAAATTAGATACTTTGACACTTTCATCACAACAGGCAAGTCATAATCGTATTAGTATTATATACTCATAGAAACGAATAAGGGAACACATGAAAGTACAAGTGTTCCTTTATTCTTTTCCAGGTTTCTTCACAAGGTATGTATTGCACTGTGAGTGAAATTCTGGAAATAAATAAAGGAACCGTTCATATGAAATTTATCATCAAGATGCATTCATCATGATGTGCTTGTGTCAGAACTGATACTGGATTATCATCTTATTTCAACTGTAATGTTGGCACAAGGCAAAGATGTATTTTAAGTCCTCAAATTTCATCATTTTAATAAATCAGCTATCACAAATGCTAGAGAATGGTGGGGGAAGAGGTATTTTTATATTGTCACAAGCCAATGATGTTTCTGCCCTCCTATTTTGCTGATGATGTGTCATCTGTATCTGACAAAGGAAAATTGATGTTGTTGAAAATCTGATGTTGTTGAAAAGTTTTGTGCAGAGACTGGAATGAAGGTGAATCTGAAAAAGACTAAAATAACGATATTTCACAATGGTGGTCCTCTCAGGGATTATAAGTGGTATTTAAATGCAAAACAAATTGAGGTTGTTAATATGTATAGATACTTAGGTATTGTGTTTATTCCAGTTATCATGGACAAATGCGAACTCCTATTTATCATCTCAAGCGAGGAAAGCCATATTTTTCATCAACAATTATGAAAAACGTTTTGGATATATTAACCATTTTGAATTGTTTAAGATATTTGACTCTATGATCACACCAATACTCTGTTACGGATCTGAAATATGGGGAACAAGCTACTGTAAAATCATTGAAACTGTGCACACCAGATTTTGTAAGTCATTTCTTAAAGTCTACCAATAACATCATGGTTCTGGGAGAGTGTGGGAGAGCTCCCCTCCAGTATCAATATATGTCAAGAGCAGTCAAGTACTGGTGCAGATTGATGCAGCTTCCACGTAACAGACTCCTTTATCAGGCATATCAAATGATGAGAACTCTGGACGATAATGGTAAAACAACAGAGGCATCTCATATTATGTTGATATTATTTCAATATGGATTTGGTTTCTTATGGATATCTCAAGACACAGGCTGTATATCCGCATTCATGGAAATGTTTAAACATAGATTTTATGACTGCTTCACTCAACACTGACATGCATCACTATTTTCGTCCACCCAATGTAATTACTATTCACAATTTAAATCATCTCTCAGCGTCGAACCATATTTAACCAGTCAACTGCTACCAAATCAACGCAAAATTATAACTCGGTTTCGATGCTGTAACTTCAGACTCACAGTGGAATGTGGCCGTCATACAAACACCCCTTTTATTGAACGTCTCTGATGTTTTTGTCATCCTGCTGGCCATGATTACAGAGAAGATTAATTCCATATTTTATGAATATGTCCAAAATATTCCCAGCAAAGATCTGACTGTTTTTCAAATCACATGACTCAACCACCAACAACTGAAACCTTCATCCGACTGTTGTCATCGGACAATATTCATATTTTAAACTCATTGAGTAAATATCTTTCACTAGTTCGCCGTATAAGGAATAAATAAATATAACATTTTAATTAATACTAAACTATACTCAGCTTTACTCAATATGTATTTACTTTTGCCAAATGTATAAATTATGGGCCATGGGCCTACATTACCGAATAAACCTGTCTGTCTGTCTGGCATGTGTTCCCTTTCGCGTTTCTATGAGTATATTTATGTGATATGACAATTGCTATGGTTTGGCTGCTTTGTCTTTACATATATAGCAGCCCAATACATGTATGACACAACTTGGCTGAAACACAACTGAGTGAGTGCGTGAGTTTATTTTTACGCCGCACTCAGCAATATTCCAGCTATATGGCGGCGGTCTGTAAATAATCAATTCTGGGCCAGACAATCCAGTGACCAATAGCATGAGCATCAATCTACGCAAATGGCAACCAAATGAGCGAGCTTGAGCACCCGATCCCGCTCGTCGACTCTTACAAAAAGCATGGGTTACTGAAGATCAATTCTAACCCGGATCTTCACGGGTCTGAAACACTGACGCAGTTCACAACATTGATCTTGATTTTATGAAAATTTGACACCTTTCATTTGTAGAGAAATGAAATGAACTCCCAATACCACTGTGGTGAAATGTACATCATCAAAACTGTTTCCATCAGAATGAGATTACGCCATATTTTCTGGACAATATACTTATTATACTATTTGAATATAGTCCATAAACTAAACTTGCTATTGTGTTTATGTCAGCTATGTTCTATATATTGCAGTAATATATAGGTTATTGCTGATATGGGTGTTATCTATGCAGATACCTTCAGGTCAGTCATGTCTAGTGCAATGGCGCTAGCAAGACACAAGATAAAACAGGTCAGTATAAACGTTGCTTTTTCATTAAGTAGAGGGCTGAAGTCTCTTTCATAAATACGAACATTTTGAATGCTCGAAATCCAATGGCCGATGCTTGATTACATGATATGTAAGTGTTTCATTAGTCGTTTTAAGATACTAATTCATCTTCAAAACAGTAGTGACTTTGTCTAAGGGAATTCATGCAAACAAACTTGAGTAAAACGAAAATAACGGCATAATATTGTTCTCATATATTTTGTGTGAGTAGCTTCATATAATTGCAACAATTTGAACTCTCTTGTGATATATTTTTAAAAAGAACATGCATTAACAGAGGTTCATAATAATAAACGTTCTCTTCGGCTGCAATCAGGTGCAGAGTTCACATAAACATCTGTTGTTGTATGATGAGCTAAATATGTTTCCTCGAGAATTGCGATAAGGTTGTCCTGAGTATATATGATTCACTCTCGCTGCTATCGGACACGCTCAGACTATTTCCTCGAGAGGAATCAGAACTGATTTAAAGTTACACAGTTACACAGACCCTTGAGTCCTTCAATAAACACTGAACAACGCTAGCTTGTAAGTATAGGATTTCAGTGTAGCCACGCACTGAAGACAGCGTCATCATGTGTGAGAGAGTTTTCTTTCAATTTTATTTTTTTCTGTTTTAATGGCAACAAATTTGGACTTCGTCTTTTTGAAGGGTAGGGTTTGTGTTTGGAGCATAACTCTGAAACCACTTCACCCATCTTCACCAAATCTTGTATAGTTTATACCAATTATTAGTAAGCTTAGAAGCATCGACCATATACATGTACTACTATAAAACACCATGAACCTTCTCTCTACCTTGAATTGGGGGAAGGGGGAGACATCTGTTTTTATGAGTAAAAACACTGTCTAGCATTGAATAGTATGTATCCCTGGTTCTTTCGACCCGTTGGTTTCATAGGACAAACTGTGAATATGTGTCATTAACCTGTACATGTACATTTATCTAAACAGTGATTGGCTTTAGTTTTACGCCGCTTTTAGCAATATTCCAGCAATATCACGGCGGGGGACACCAGAACTTGGCTTCACACATTGTACCCATGAAGGGAATCGAACCCGGGTCTTCGACCTGACGAGGCAACGCCTTAATAACTAAGATACCCCACCACCCCCATGATTTCATGAACCACTTGATATTAATGTGTGTGGGAGGGTGGGATAAGAGAAGAGACAACTTTCAGCAACAGATGTAGCGAGACACTATCCATTTTAATAAAGTCTGAACCGTAAATATGCTGTTAGGGAATTTTCGGTATCTCTACAAAAATCTAAAAATCGTAGCCATTGATTAAGATTTCTTAGTATAAATATCCAAAATTTATGCCTGTGGAATAATTAATTTGCAGGAATTGGTTTTAGTCTCTTGAAATACGAATACCCTTAAAGCATTGAGGTTGATATTTGTTTCTGTTGCTTAAACAGATAAGACAGTAAACATCACTGGCCATGAAGGGGAAGGGTATGTCAGAAAGGTGGCCACCGTTGGTGCTTAATTTTGGTAAGTCAGAGGTCATAGAAATATCTCTAGATAAGCGTTCAGCAATATCTCATAACTAACTGTTGCGTGTACATTCATGCTTTATAAACGCAAAATGTGTACTGCAAGATAATTGGCTGAAAACCTTACATGGGATATTGTTCTAATAAATTGTAGAAAAGCATGCCTTTTTGTCAGTCGGAAAGGGTACTATTGATCTTGTTAAAATCTATACCAGTTTGATCACAATACATCAGGGCCCGGTTGTTCAATACTCGGTTATCTTAACCGCCGGTTAACTCCTAACGGCCGGTTAAATCCTTAACCGGCCGTTAGGTAACCGAACGTTAAATATGGGTTGTTCAAAACATGGTTAGTCATGCCGTTAGCTAACGTCGCCGTCAAAGTTTAACAGTGTGGTTTACGTCACTGGTTAGCTTCCATATATCCCATAGTTCCGTTTTCTGTTTACTTCCGGTTTACAAAAAAATGGAAACGCAAAATGTCGCCTGCACCCCAAGGAAAAAGAGAAGTCGAAATTTCTCTGCTGACGAAGAGAATGTAATCCAGTCAATGGTTGAGGCCAACTCTATAGTTTATCATAGGCATGCGAATGTCGTAGCCTTACGAACGTTTTGTATTAGAACACAAGGTTCCAGCCGTTTGCATAATTTATATTTCAAAGACATATGATCCCAGCTCTGTGTAGGTCTTACTTCAGTTCCAGCAACAGAAAAGACATTTTAATGAAAAACTATAGCACAGCTATAGATAAAATATGATGAATCCCTGAAAATAATATTAATATTAGAAACATGTTGTCCGTGGATAGAAAATGTGTAAATATTACACACAGAGTTACGCTTAGACGGCTACAGTCTTAATGAATCTTTGAATTCCACAAGACCTATCGCTCACTTTTCACTCCTTAAATTGTCATGACTGTATGTCCAAGTCGTGAAGATGCTATCAATATAATTTATTAATTATTTGCCAAGTCAGTCAAAAATTGTAATGTATGAACACGCATTGCCAAATCTTTTAACATCAAACAATCTAGATGTTGTGATAATACCATAGCTGTTATCTGAAATATGCATTCAATACCAATAGAAACTTAACATGTTACTAGCACCACGTGCAAGTAATCAAACTGTAATCGTACTATAGGCCCCAGGGCCAACACTGCTGAATAAAATCGATCTATTATCCGACCTTACTTTTGACAGGAATCTCATGAATAATACTGTGCAATATCGTCATTATCTGAACGCCTTCCCAGACGTATATTCCGGAAAGATGTCTTGAAAAACATGAAGCTGCGTCTAATTTATAGATGAACATAATTTCCTCGATACTCATTAATTGGATGAACCTTCATTGAGTTCAATTCACAAGTGACTGCAGAAAATGCATAATTCTTGTTAATGACTTTACGGTCGGAAAACATATATTATATTTCATAAGTGCATTATAGAACGCTGTAGTAGATAAACATAATTTCCTCGATACTCATTAATCAGGTGAACCTCCATTTAATGCATAGGTAGTTCTTTTCAGTGTCTTCAAGGACGGAAAATATGTATTATATTTCATAAGTGTATTATAGAACGCTGCAACGATTCGGCAGAGAAATACTATTGTGCCATAGTATTCCTTATAAGAACCTATCAGTGTATAACATTAGCATTCAGATATTGTTATAAAATAAGTTAAAAAATTCCAAATATTATCGTGTAATATGACAAGAGATAGTGTTGTGTTCGCTGTGACAAAAAGGTTTCGATATTCAAATATAACATTTAATCAAAGGGACTACGAAATAGGCCTGCATGTCACTCACAACAGAAATAGATACATAATAATGCTATGTTTATTTTCCTACACATCAGTTGCGAGAGCAATGTTTATGTTAACTAAGTTTTCATCAATTAATACAGGATTCTTAAAAGATGATTTGCTTCAATTAAAACATTCGAAGAATGAAAAAGAAATTAGGCCTATTGCTGAAATGATTAGTAAAAATATAATTAAAATCCATCTATGGGAAGGGATGCCAGACGGACATATCAAAACAAAATCGGATAATTACTTGGAGTATAGACTTTCAAAAATAGCATATTAATTAACAATGATATCAGTTTTTAATAAAATCACTAATAATTGTGAAACGTTGCCGATAAGCCTGGAATCGTGTTCAGATGTTTTCATAAATATATTCACACGAACGCCCAAGTACACTTTGCGCCCTATTGGATAGTGTTTACAAAATCACGTGTCGCGAAGGCCGGTATTGAAACGCCAATTACATCACTTGTATTTCATATTCAGCGACGACAAATGAATCACTGCATTCTAAGGCTGGGACGGGTACTCGGGTACTAGAATCCGGGTCGGGTACAGCTGGAATCCAGTCCTATTTCTAGGAATCGATTATCCGGAAAGGGAGAGAGGTCTGTAATGGCAAGGGCAGACAATAGCTTGTCTTTCTCATTTTTGACGTAACACACATTCACATCATTGAGTGAGTGAGTGAGTGAGTTTAATTTTACGCCGCACTCAGCAATATTCCAGCTATATGGCGGCGGTCTGTAAATAATCGAGTCTGGACCAGACAATCCAGTGATTAGCAACATGAGCATCGGTGTGCGCAATTGGGAACCGATGACATATGTCAACCAAGTCAGCGAGTCTGACCACCCGATCTAGTTGGTCGCCTCTTACTACAAGCATGGGTTACTGAAGATCCATATTCTAACCCGGAAATTCACGGGTTTTTACATCATTGGTATTGTCCGATTAATGGAGCATAGTTTTAATGACTGTAATTTATCTGTGCATGAGCAGTGAATAGTTAAGTTGCAGTAGCAGCAGGAACAAAACGTTCGTTGTTATAACGAGGAATGTAAGTAATGGTGTTACTCTCTATATTGGTTAAACAGACGTAAATTAAATAGCTTGAGGTCAGTTTTGATGTCTTATTACCAACTGGTCAAGTTTTCTACAATTATTCAGAAAGTTGACTCGAATGTATTTCTTACATTTCCGGGTACTCGATTCCGATTCGGGTACGTACATGCGGGTACTCGATTCCATTGTTTCCTACTCGTCACAGCCCTACTGAATTCCTCATACATTTTAGAATCTAATTACAACTGGTCTTTTTGGCACCAATACCAAGTGTCTAGATAAAGTGAAACGAAAGATATTGGGGGTGGAAACAACTGCTGTGCTCGAAAGACAACAGCTGTTTGAAATGTAAACAAAGAAAATTTCGGACTTTACACTGTGTAGCATTTCCTCAAATTTTCAGACACCCATTTGCATGGAAAGAGCATAGTAGCAAGAAATAGGAAATTAAAAATAGATACAATACAGGAATGTGATGTGTTTACACGAAACTGTCAAGTCTCTGTGCTGCGTGACGCCATGACTGACGCAAAATCACGCAGAACGACAACGGTCATAATCGGCATTTCTGGTTTCTTCTCTTTCTTAAAATGGGAGTGTATTTGGCAATTTCTCTGAGGCGAAGGTCGGTAGAATAAGAGTATACACAATCACCATATCCCGCCGATTACACTTTCAGTATCAAAATGTAATCGTTCGGATATTTTTTCATGAAACTAATTTAATTATCTACATGTAGCCTTGTTCAATATCATATCACACGTGGGTATAGTGTGTACGTGTTATATTCTTTGAAAGTGGTTGTTTGAATAATATTTACAGAAGAAATTCACACATTTAGTGTAGTAAAGCATATATAAACCTTTCCACAAGTGTTAAAAGATTAAACGTAGGCATCATGTACTTGTACAACATGTATTTTAATTCCTATGATGTGCATAGATACAGTTTCGTATGTAACTCTTCGTCTGAATAATTTCCAATATCGAAGTCCAGTCCACGATACACCCTATCCTTTCTTTGCTGAACTGGCATCATGAAAGCAGTGTTAGCCATGAACGCCATTTGCGAGTTAACCACACTGTTAAAAAGTTAGCGGCGGTCCTTAGGTGTGTTAACTTAACGTCACGTTAACAGCCTGTTAAAAGTTAACAGAGTTTTGAACAAGAAGATAACCCTCTGTTATTAGGTAACAGTCGGTTAAATGTACTTAATGGCTGGTTAAAAGATAACCCAGTTTTGAACAACCGGGCCCAGGACTTCTATTTAAAACTTATGTAGGCATCTGTTAACAAGTTGGGTTATCACAGAAGCAAAAGGCGTCATCTGTCGTATAATGACATATTCCAAATTCATCTCACACAGCTATGAAAGATCAGACAGACCAGTATGAAGAACTACTCATAACATTTACAATGTAAGAAAAACTATTCATAACATTTACAATGTATGAAAAACTACTCATAAAATTTACAATGTATGAAAATCTACTCATAACATTTACAATGTATGAAAACTACTCATAACATTTACAATGTATGAAAAACTACTCATAACATTTACAATGTATGAAAAACTACTCATAACATTTACAATACATGAAAATCTCCTCATAACATTTACAATGTGTTTTTCACACATTTTCGGGTTCTACTGAGTATTTGATGCCCGTGAATCTTTACATTCAAAACCCCCGCAAACACCATATTTGGGAGGGTGGATGTGGGGATTTTTGGTGGGAAAGTCAACTTCCTTAATCAAACGCAAAAATATGAAACTGCATTACGTTATATTTTATCTATTATTGGAAACTTAGATGTTGTTAGTTAGTTGACGCACTTGTTAGTATTTTAACATTTTAACGGTTCACGATTATATTTTACAGCCGAAGGTCGCACAATGGAAGAGATTGGGAACCGAGACCTGAACATAACTGGCAAGAAAGGTGCATCAGCTGGCAAAGTTACGGCTGTTGGACTAAAGTTCAATTAATTTGCTGTAACAGTCTTGAAACATAAACTCATCTAACAGACACAGACATTTTGTTGGCTTTCAGGTAATCGTTTAAATCTAATATATGATAATTCTTCATTAAACTTGTAATTATATGGCCACTGATTAATAACTTAAGTGGCATACAGTTTTCTCCACAAGTGATGTTCAGGCATTACTAGAGAAAATAGCATGGTCACAATTTACAGCTAGGAAAATGTGATTTGCTGAAAAAGGAATTTTTATAACTGTCAAAAGCACTATGCAAAAGCACTATGCAAAATAAAAAATACAAATTATATTATTTTTAAAAAACATATAGTACTTATTGTACCTCAATCGCGTCGATCGGTGCTCATGATTTCATCACTGGATTGTCTGGTCCAGACAGTTGTCACTGGAAAATTGCTGAGTGCGGCGTTAAATAACAAACAAACAAACTAGTACCTATACACCTACATCACAGAACCAACATTTTTATAGATACAATACCAAAACATGTTTGAAAAACGAATTCCGCTAAAAGGGTACCTTAGCATATTCTGATTAAAACTAAACCAAAACGAGAATTGAATTTTGGTGACAATGTTCACAGCAAAAATAACTTGGTTTCCGCAATGCGGAAACCTGGTGGAAAGTGGACTGAAACTTAAGTTTCCACCTAGAATCCACTGAGTTTCCGTTCTTTTACATTGAGTTTCCGCAATAACGGAAACTTACAATTACCCACTTTCTAAGGGTTTCCGCAAGGTTTCCGTTACCCACACTCAAACAGGTTTCCGCAAGGTATCCGTTACCCACACTCCAAGAAGTTTCCGTTGAGTTTCAGTTAACTTTGAATCCATCAGGTTTCCACAAGGTTTCAGTTATTAAGACTCCAGCAGGTTTCCGCAGAGTTTCAGTTACCAACAATCCGACATAGTTTCCGCATAGTTTCAGTTACCAACAATCCGACATAGTTTCCGCATAGTTTCAGTTACCGGTTTCAATTTCAGGTTCACAGGTTTTCATATGCGTTTCAAAGAGCTAAATGTAAACATTCTTCTTTATTCATATCATAAACTCTTGTTAAAAACAATATAAGCAATTTGTTATTATCATGACATTTACTTAAAGAAAAACAGAACATATAATAAGATTCATTCTTTTATTTTCTCAACATGAATATGAATTAGCATTTAAGGCAAATAAATATCAGACATATAACTAGTAATATAGCACTAAAGAACAGGGCAAAACATTTTGGCATAACTCAGTCCAGTTTCAGAAATCATATATCATTTATAACAAAGTAGTAACTGTTCATCAGTTAAACTTTCGTTCACTTATTATCTTGAAATAGCATGTTAGATATGAAATTTATTTCTAAAATCATGCTAATGGTGAAAAACAATAACATACAACTTAACACAGTAATAAAACATAGCTGCATCGGACATTTGGCATTCAGCCACACACTCTATGTCACAACTATCTCCAGACATCCACTATGATATACATCATACAATAACACAACATACAGCTTACAATACAAAAATAAAATAAAATAAAAATTACATTATGAAATTGAAAATAAATTAAATTGCAAGAGTTGGTCAGTTAGCCCAATAAGGGGCATCCCTGGACGGAGATCCCTCTGTTACTTTGGTTGGATGCCTCATCCTCGTCCTCATGTTGGCCTTGGCGAGAGCAGTGGAGGTGTAGATTCTTTCCAAGTCCAGTGTCGTCGTGTATGCCCTAAGCTTGCTGGACTCCCAGACAAAGGGGGCGGAATGCAACTAATTGACGTCATCTTCGTCACTCACGACTGGTGATGTCATGTCTATGGTGAGTGTTGTCGCTACCTTTTTCTTTCGTCTATCTGGCCAATCGATAGATGCAAGTCTGTTTAGGCGTTGTGCAGGTTTCTGAAAATGGCAGGTAATAACGAATTACTAGGTTATTTTGATAAATTACACACACATCAATCAACAAGAAACTGACAATGCCAAGGATGATTTAAAATGAGTAATCCAGAAGGAAGTTTGAATAAAAGAGAACTAAATTGAACAATCACACTTTGCATTAGTTTTCTCAAATCTCAAATTATACAATTCATCACACTTAATTGACCAAATTGCTGGAATATTGCTAAAAGCGGCGTAAAACCAAACTCAGTCAGTCAGTCGTATTGTTGAAGGCACAAGTATATTCACCCAGTAGTGACTATATGTTTACACCATTAAGTCTTTGAGGTGTATTTAGAAGTGAATAATACAAGACATGAATGTTTACGGATGTCAACTCTGAAACATGTTTTCACATAATAAAGGAGTTGACATCCATAAACCTGTCTCTACACTATTGGAAATTATTTACTATTTATAATGAAAGTCACTACAGATAGGTCAAAATTACCTTCACATGTTCCTGCTGACCATCTCTGGTCATTCTTTATAAAGTCTCCAGACTCATCATCAGCTTTGCTGAAAAAAATAAACAATTACACGTTACTTTTCTTTTCATTTCCCCATTCATTCATTCGAGTTTTAAAAAAAACACCAAACAATTGCAGCGACATTGATACCAACAAGCAAACTACAGATTTATCACTTTAGGTTATGCAATCAGTAAGTGAACGGCCTGACATAAACATCCTGATGAATGAAGTTTAGTTATCTCATGGGACATAACCTTGGAGTAATTACGGTATTGTAAAATCAAAGGGTCAGTTTGACTGCAATTTCACACAGGTGTGAAGTTAAGATTTATTTGGTCCAATTTGAAATCATAATTAAGTTACCGGTTATTCAAATCCATTTGCAAATGCAACTTTAGTATGGTTCATTTTGTGAATATGTATCTAGGGAAGCATAATAATAAAATATTCAGTGAAATTATGTCTATGTTTCGTAGTACCATAAACACATACCTTCAGTAAGAGAGGGTGATCATTTCCTCCAGGAGTAGTCGTGACACATGTTTCCTCACAACAGCCTAAATGAATAAAACAAATCCATTAATATATCATCTATTTGCTGTATTTTTCAAAATTGTAGTATATTTTTAGATAGACACTTATTTTACTTCATCAACCTTTGAAAATAGTTCGAGCAAAACTGTTTATACAGTCATGGGACTTAAATATACGTCAGTCGGCAAAATTCTCATAGACTTGCATGCTATTTTAGTGTAGCTGTGTAATTTTCATTAATTCAGTTTTCAATATTTGGTTGTCAAATTTTGCAGGTCGTTTCCGCATTGTAGTTACAAGAGCAACATATATACAACATTGCGTATTCTTTCCCCATAGACCGCCATGTTAAAAATTGCCATAACCATGACACGCACTGAATTGAAAATAAAACGGAAATTATGTCTTTGTAGCTGAGATAATTCATGACCCATGTGCAAAATATAAACAATATCAAACGGATATTAAATAAATTCAAGACATATTTCTAGCTGCACCAAATTAACATGTAAGTCGAATAATGCATAGTGACGAATACCTATGGCCAGTGTCTGTAATTCGATAGATTCGACAATAAATTTATGGAATGCCCTACCAAATTTCAAAAGCGGCATGTAATCTCACAGAATTTAAAAACCTAATTACAAAAACTGAAAATAAGATTTAATTTGACCTTAATTATGGCACTCGTTTTTGCCAAATCGTTCACTGTCGCCTCAGGCTCGGATGTAGCGACCTTAACGCCGATAAGTATAACAGACATTTAAAAGACAGCCCTTGTTGTTCTTGTGGACATCAGAGTGAAAACGCCCTACATTATTTCCTCACTTGCCGTAACTATACTCGGATAAGACTTAATATGTATTTTTACACTACCGGTTATAACCTGGATACCATTCTTAAGGGAAACAGAGAACTTACTCCATGTGTATACCAGAAAATAGTTGAATCCGTCCACGATTATATAACCAAGACACAACGCTTTAAATTTTCTCTGGAAAATAATTAAATTTACTCAACAACCTTCTCATGATTGATTTGTATTTCTACAATGGCTTGTGAGACACACACAACTGTAACTCTCTAACTTATGACTACTTAGAGAATAGTTGTATTTCATGTAATCTGTATATATGTATACATTTTAAAAATATTATATTTATGCAATGGTCAGTATCGATGACGTCAAATCCTCCATTTTCATGTTGCATTATATGTTGCATGGGAGCGGTGTTAATATAAGCAGTAAAGCTTGTTCACCAATCCCAATTCATCTTCATGAATAAAAATATGTTTAAATCAATTCGATAGATTAGCTTGTTTACCAATCCGGATTTCTGTACGTAAAGTAAATAATTCACAAAACGTTATTTGACAACAAAATAAATTGGTCTTACCTGACAGGGTCGTGGTACTGCGAGTTTTTCGCAGCCATTTCCATCTTTCTTTTCCTGGTAGCGAATTCTCTCTTCCAGTGCTTTGAGGGAAACTGAGGCGGCTATGAAAATGGCGTCTCGCAAAGACTCACGGGAAAAACACTTTGTTGTTGTTTTTTAATCTAACTGTAACATTACAGTTTGACAATATCTTTCCGCGTTATACAACAAAATAAACATACACTATACACCTAAAATGTCAGCTGTGTGTTTTTATAATGATTTAGGTAGTCTCGCGTGGACGTGATCCGGTCGCCATTGTTTTATTTGTTTACATTGCCGACATCAAAGGAGACCGTGTAAGGTGGAACTGAACAGATTGAATGTGAGTACCCAAAGTGACAACAGTGGGCTGTTATGGGCTTCAGGGTCTTTTCATCGCATAATGGGCACTAATTGCTCCTCCTCATTGTCAAGCATCAACATGTAGGCCTAGGATAATTAACAGTGAATAAATCTGAAAACATATTCACGTTACTTTAAAAGTCCTGGGTGCCGTTCCACTAACCGATCTTATCTAAGATCAATCTTAGCAAGTTACGCCAATTTTACTATCGTCTTAGCTAAAAGTTACACCCGTTCCACTAACCGATTTTAGGCCGATTGTAGCCGGTTCCGATCTTACGATCCGATCCAAGCTTAGATCGAA